CACAGACTTGTTTATAAAAACAGTTTTAAATTACGTATAATTATGAACATTCCAAAAGACTAATTCTACTTTTAGAAGAACTCACAATCCTTCTGGCTTTAGCCTTCCAAGGACTAGGATTACAGGTATGCACCACCATGCCTGGATGATTTTACATAATTTGTTAAACTCAGAAATTTTCAAATGAATAAAAACCTTTAAACACACAACTTACTCTAAGAGGCATCAAGTACCCTTCTTTTATTCCCTATCGGTCCCAAGGGGACCTGCAGGCCAGTGTCAAGCCATAGTGCATGAAGGAGAAGCAGATAAAATACAAAGTAGCAGCCTGGCTTCTGCGGGCTGTTATTTGCCAGTGAATTGTGATTAATACCCAGATCCTACAGTGGTAGCTTCCTGGCAAGTCTGCTGTCAGTTTGCAGGGGCTCTCAAAGCTTGGATTTTCTGATAAGAAAAGGTTCTTTGCTGTCAACTCTGGAAGATCTGGTTCTGTGGTGCTGGTTACTAACACTACCAAAGCTTTTCACCAGTGTGGGCTGGAGGTCATAGCAGGCAGGGTACTCCTGCTGCACCAAGGCCAAACCTGCCTCCAGTTTTGGGAAAATGACTCATAGCAGCATACCTGAGTCATCTTCTCTTTTGTTTATGAAATTCATTAATATTCTTCACTTTGAAGATTCACATAGGAGAAAAAAACAGAAAGTTTCCTTTCTGCATTTCTCCACTGTCAGCCTTTGGCCTCAGTCTCCCTTTGCCTTTCCTGCCTATCATGAGCTGGGTCAGCTGCTCATGCTACCAAAAAGAAGGCTTAGCTTCTCTTCTATGCCTGAACCGATGCAGGCTGGAAACACAAAGAACTTATATGACCCTCCACTCTGTGACAGGGCCTCTCGGGTTAGAAGCCTTGGTTCACCAGCTTAGACTTTTGTTTTGGCTCTCACTTCAAGATCAAGCTTAGCAACTACAAAAAGACTACCCATTTCCAATCCTTTGCCACATATCTTCACATGCCCTCTGTTCATACAGAACAAGACATGGTAAAACTTATGATGAGTAATCCCTCCAAGTTCAAACTAACTCCAGTAAAGTTGAACCATGTAATAGGTTAAATGCAACTTATATAGGATATAAAAAAACCCATGGAGAAGGGCAAGGATGACATCCCTAACCAGAGGCAATTCCCAAACCTCAGTACACGTTTACATTTCAAAATATCCCCTACTAATTTTGTTTATATGTAGCTTCATATGACCAATTTCATTTATTCTCCTTTTCCTTCTTATGCCTACTGTTTTGTAGAGGTTTTTTTTTCGTTTATTCATATGTGCATATAATGTTTGGGTCATTTCTCCCCCCTATCCCCCACCCCTTGCCCCCTCCTTTTCCCCCCTACCCCCTCCTTCTCCCCCTTCCCCTTCATTACCAGGCAGAAACTGTTCTGCCCTTATCTCTAATTTTGTTCAAGAGAGAGTATAAACAATAATAAGAAAGACAAAGCATTTTTGCTAGTTGAGATAAGGATAGCTATACAGGAAGATTCTAGCATTGCTTCCATGTACATATGTATTACATTCTAAGTTGATTCTTTTCGAACTGACCTTTTCTCTAGTTCCTGATCCCCTTCTCCTATTGGCCTGTGTCACTTTAAAGTTTCTGCATTAGTTCCTTTGCATTAAGGACATCAAATACTATCATGTTTTTTGGGTTTCTTACCTATCCTCATACCTCCTTTGTATGCTCTCGCCTTATCATGTGACCAATCACCTTGCTGTATTTTCCCTTGTAGAGGTTTTATAATAAGAAACAAATGGGGTTGGGGCATGGCTCAAGTGGTAGGGCACCTGCCTAGCAAGCGCAAGGCCCCAGTACTGCCAAAAAAAGAAGAAATGTTTTATGATATATGAATTATATCTGACACACACAAAAGTAAATAAGTGGCCAAAATGTGAGCAGCATGGGATAAAAAGAGACAAACAGGTTAGCTCAACAGTGACACAGCAACAACAAGGTGCTGACAAGTGACAGCCATCCCTGTCATCTGGGCCATGTGGTCACCAGGTTACCTCAGACCTACCACCCATTCCATGAATTTATGGGTGCTAGAGTTTTCAACTTCAGGGATAAATAACATACAATCTAAACAATCAATCTTTGACTAGCTGATTGCATTAGTTTTCTATTACTAAAACAATAAGTTACCACAAACTTGGTGGCTCAAAACAACATAGTTTTATTATGTTATAGTCTATAGGTTGGAGGTGTGACATGGGTGCCACTGGGCTAAAATCAGCATAGAGGAGAACCATTGCCACTTCCTTGCCTTTTCTGGCTTCTAGAGACTACCCATCTTTCTTGCCTATGACTCCTTTCTTGTCATCAAAGTCACATGACATCTTTCTCTGGCCCTGCTCCATTCTTATGTCTCCTTCCCTGACTCTGCTGTCTTGCCTCCCTCTTCCACTTATCAGAATCCTTGTCATTACATTGGGCTCACCTGGACAATTCACAATGCCCTCCCTATTGGCTGATTAGCAACTTTAATTCCAGAGATTAGGACAGGGACATTTTCAGTTCATTAATCTTTCTACCACATCATTTAACCTGTATTTCACAATTTATAAAAGAAGATAAAAACTATGTATTTTATAGGCATTCTTATTTATAATATATGGGCTCTTCAAAAAGATGAAAACTTATATGCAAAGCAAATTATAAATCAAAGGTATTAGAGAAATGATTTAAAAGAATCCTGTGGCAAATTGTTTCATAAATATATTAGTTTCCTAATGTCCTGTTTTAGGAATCTAGATTTCTACACAGCATATTTACTTAGTGTGGACCTATAAAGCTTAATATGGGTAAAATATTTTAATATTTTGAGAATGTTGGGGACAGAAGATGAGTCAAAACTACAAAACCCAGGGTACAGTCAGAAGGGGGTAATAATTTCTAATTTTTTAAAGCTCAGTATAGTTCTATAATTGACAAAAATTAATCATATATTTCAAAATAACTAGTAGAGAAGATTTTGAATGTTCCCAACACAAAAATGATAAATGTTCAGGCAACAGATGTGACAATTACCCTGATCAGATCATTGTAGATTCTATACATGTATTCAAATGTCAGATTGTGCCCCATAAATATGTATAATTATCATGTATCACTTAAAATTTAAAAACTATAGAACTATTTTTTGACAATCTGAACAAAACTATAACTTTCACACATGCATTTCTGAACCTGACTTAATAGGAGATATTTTATGATAAAGACTTAAGTCTCACTCAGCTAGTAAGCATGGTAGTATACTGATTAAAAGTATAGCTCTTGTGTCAGCCTACTTAGGTTCAAATCCCACCTCTGAAAACTTGCAGTTCTGTGTAATTATTAGATTTCTTTGTGCCTCACTTACCATTTCTGTAAACTAAGAATAATAATAACACCTATTTCATGGGGCTTCCACGAGGATTAAATGAGATACAGAATACACACAATAAGTCCCCAGCAAATGGGTTCTCTTATTATTACCACATGCTGAGGCCTATGCTTAGGTGCAGGAGATACACAGGAAGCATCCTAGAACTTGATTCATCATCTTAGGGACTTGAAAATAAAAGTGACAACAAGGGGATTGGACTTTGAGCACACGATAAAGCAAGAGCACACAAGGGAAGTATGAGGATAGGTAAGACAACCAAAAAACTAGATAGCATTTGTTGCTCTCAATGCAGAGAAACTAAAGCAGATACTTTAAAGCAACTGAGGCCAATAGGAGAAGGGGACCAGGAACTAGAGGAAAGGTTAGTTCAAGAAGAATTAACCTAGAAGGTAACACACACGCACAGGAAATTAATGTGAGTCAACTCCCTGTATAGCTATCCTTATCTCAACTAGCAAAACCCTTGGTCCTTCCTATTATTGCTTATACTCTCTCTTCAACAAAATTAGAGATAAGGGCAAAATAGTGTCTGCCAGGTAGCAAGGGGTAAGGGGAGGTAAGCGGGGGGGAGGAGAAATGACCCAAACATTGTATGCACATATGAATAAAACAAAAATTTAAAAAAAAGAAAAGAAAAGTGAGAAGAGTACATGGCCACTAAAGGGACAGAACAGTCAAAAATATAGTAAGATAAAATCTGAGTCTTCCCTTGGTAGACACCCATGGTTTCTACTTGCAGGCTATTTGAAAGATAGAATGACCTTACTACTTAATGGAAGTGTGAATCATCCTCAGCAAACCACATGGTCTTAAATTAAATATCTGAAAGAACAGTTATATTTGGTATCAGGAAATAATTTGTTTTCTGCTCAGAATCTTCAAGTAGCTTGTTAGTTTTGCCTTTGGACTTTAATGTCTCTTCACTGCTTCCCAAACAAAAGCCAACCTCATGTCTGAGGTATTCAAGGCTCCATGTGATTTGTTTTTCCTTTCAATGTTTCTACTTTTGTCTCATACAAACCCCTAGCATAAACTCGCTATCCTGGGCAAGCGACACAATTTTCTAAATAGGCTCTTCTGACCACCCTAAGGCACTGTTCTAGGAGTTAATTTTGTATATTTCTATGTGGTCCAAAGGCTATTGCAAACAAGAAATCCCACCTTAAATACCCATATATTTGCTGCAGTGACTGGTATTTATTAAGCACCTAATTAATATTTGCTAAAGAAATGGATTACCCTATCCTTCTACTCATTATATTCAGTCCCACATATAAGTCTCTAATGCCCTTTTGTTAAACTATTTTCTCCTTTCAACTGACAGCTTCCTTCTTAAGCTTCCTGATTCAGATGATAATAACTACATCACATTTCTTTTAAAAGTTATACTTCTAAATTTAGATTGACGGTTCTGATTTTTAAAATCCCATGCAACTATGAGAATCTTCTCATTGAAGATTTTTTTTAAACTAGGGCTCATTGTAAAATAAATACTTTCCCAAACAGGCTACTTATGTCAATATCTTTAAAATGATGGAATAATACAAGTACTTCCTACCTTCATGGTAACTGTGATGGTGCTATTTACATTTGCTTTGTGCAACCAGCCTTGTTTTATCACACCACCTTTCTGAGAACATAAAGAAGATGAGTCCTGAAATAGAATAAAAGCCATCAGTAAAACAGCAGCCAGCCATTTAATTAGTCAACATTTGGGGGCCACAGAACTATACCTTGCCCCCATTTCCTAATTAAATCATAAAGTCCCTCATCCCTGTAAAGATTTGAAATTGCTGACTACAGAGAAAACCTGCATTGTGCACATAGTAGGCACTCGTTAGTTACTGAATTATACAGTCTCTCTTCTGGGAAAGTCTTCAGCAGTAAGTAAACAGTCAAACTACTCCTTGAAATGTAACAGACATCAGAACCATCTGTCACAAGAGGGATCTATCAGGCAGGAGATTCCAGATGAATCACCATACCACAATGCCTAACACAGGAAAAGCAAGTCCACGAGCCTATCCCACAGGTGGAGGAATGTTTACGTACAAGACACTGCCCATTTCAAGTGAGTTGTTCCAAAATGCCATTTGGAAAGGTAAAAAATATTAAAAACACTCATAAAGCTGACCATAGATAATTTAAAAACAGTCCTTCCAGGATCTTTTCTCCAGGAATTCTCTTTGGAATCTTTTTCAGAGAAGTGACCTTGCAGAACCCAGTGTAATTGCCCCCATCGTTACCTCATCTTTCTCACAATCCTCATCAATCTCAAAGACATGATTAGGAATCTTTTCTGGCCTCAGAGATTTGCTGAAAATGCAAGAGAATTTTCTTAGACACTGGAAAGAACAGACCAAAACAGTAACAGAAAACAAAAACAAAAATGAGGAGACTTTCTTTCACAAACAACAAAATGCCCAGATACAAAAAGGAGAAATCTTTTTCTCCTTTCCAAACACAGATTCTTCGCCTAGAATAAACTTACATTGCTTTTTTGTTTGCTTGTTTGTGTTTTTGTAGTGCTGGGGATGAAACCCAGGGTCTCACACCTGCTAGGTAAAGCACTGACCATCGAACTACAGCCCCAGCCCTGTGTTACTTTGTCTATAAGGCCCATCACATGTGCAGCCAGAAACAAAGACAAAACTAAGCTCACATACTCAGTCAAAGTGGGAAGAAGTTTCTAAGGAATGTGTGCCAGTGTAGGACCTTATCTTTCCCAGGATCAAAAAGTAACACAGTGTAATTCTGGGTTCTTCCATTTGTTTCCTTGATGAACTTGGACCTGTCATTTTAGTACTGTTTTCTTCTCTGGAAAATCTCTTTGAAAACTACAAAAGGAGCCAGGCACAGTGGCTCAAACCAGTAATCCTAACTATTTGGGAGGCTAAGATTGGGAGAATCATGGCCTGAGGCCAGCCCAGACCAAAAAAAAAAAAAAAGTTCATGAGACCATATGTCAACCAATGGCCAAGTGTGGTGGTGCGTGCCTGTCATTCCAGCTACAACGGGAAGCCTAATAGGAGGACTGAGGTCCAGACTGGCCCCAGGGGGAAGGAAGTGGGGGATAAAGTAAAGTAAAACCTTGTATCAAATATAAGCAGAACAAAAACAGATGGAGGTGTGGCTTAAATGATAGAGTGCCTGCCTAGTAAGCATGAAGCCCTGAGTTCAAACCCCAGTACCACCAAAATAGAAAAAAGAAACTACAAAAGGCTACACAAATGTCTTATTTCTCCCGTACCTTTTCTAAAACATCTTCCATATGATATCCCGTGAGGTTAGTAGTATAGATAAGAAATGGGAGAAGGAGAGATCAAACAGGTTGTCATTCAAGGTCATCAGCTAACAAAGTGGCAGAAAGAAGATTTGAACCATGACAAGTGTGGCTCCTGGGACAGTGTAGTGATGTAGTCATGCCATTCCTTCATCTTAATTGACAGAGGTATGCTTTTTTCAAGGGATGCCTGGAGTCATTGAATTGATCCAAATATTTTCTAACTTCCTTATTGACACCATTGGAAAAATGCTTACTACATTATTCAGAATCAACTAAAGATTATTTTATAACCAATATAGACACACCAAAGCCCAAAAGTGACTTCACACATTTGAGAAAGCATTTCAATGAGCAAAATTAAAACATATTCAATTGGTCAAAATACTGTATTTACCAAGTATGCTAGCTATTTTGAAGTTTTGCTGTATTATATACCATAACTCAGAGGTTTCACAAGTGGTTTTTAAAAAGATAAAAAGTTGAATAATTCTCCTTGTGTTTCCCTTAAATTCTAAACTTACCATGGTAACATTCGAAAGTCCCCTGAGAAGTCTTCATACTTGTAGTTTACCACGTGCCAATCTTTGCTATAGGTTTTAATACACTAAAAGAAAGATAGAAATCTTGAATTTGAAGTGTAGGAAAAGTATACCTAGTTCCACTTTTTTAAAGTCTAGTAATATACGGGCAGATTTTTGAAAAACTATTTGGGAAATGTTGGTATAGGAATCTTCCTTTGGGGATCAACTGTGTTTCTCTTAAACCAACTGGTGACAATAAATCCCAATTCAAATGCCTTTTTGGATACTCCAACTACAACCAAGTCCAGGGAGTACTCAAATCCAAAAGAAAAATCATGAACATATGCTGTGAATGTATGTCCTCTGTATCACATCATACAGACTTGTTATGTAAGTCGATACATTCGGTAATTTTATTTCCCATTCATATTAAAGGAAAAGTATTTTAAATATTGTATACATAAGCTTATATTTCAAGTACATAGGTTTGTAACTATTTTATATATATGTGATAAATTGTCCTCTGTGTCCACAGAGCCCATTACCTCTTTGACAAATAAACTCTGGGCCCTCTTTTCAGCATCTTCTGGTACAGTGGACTGAACTGTTCTCCGTTGTCGACCTATCACTGAGATCTGGAGGACAAAGAACATTCTTGCTGTAAGAACTGGCTTGGAAAATACAGTGTTTGTTCTTTAAAAAAAAAAAAAAAAAGCTCGCGAACTCACAGATATATCTTCCATGGGGAACATAAGCAGGTCTCTGAGGGGGTCACTGTAAATCTGTGTTTTCCTTTGGGCGATAACATTCTCGTAGTCCAGGGGCTCAACAACCTTGGCCTTTTCCTTTACAGGAGACAAAAATAAAGTTGTTATGGTCAAACACAGAAGAAAGAAATTCCTCCCTGTATACCAATAAAACAGTATTTCACAGAACAAGGGATTCTTGATACTAATTAGCACTTAAAGGAGACACTTTCACTACAGAAATATTCTCTGTAGCTAGACACACAGGCCAAACACATGTGTGCACAGACTCTTCCTTGTTAAAGATGAGAATTCGGAATTCTGAAGAAACAGCACCATATTCTGTTTTCCTGTGTGCCTTTCAAAAGTTGTTGAATTTTAAGTAAAACAAAGAATGGTATATTTGGAAGCCTGTGAGTTGATATTTACTGAACATGTATTCGTCACCAGGTAACTAAAAGGGAGAAACTGGCAATATTCACGTGCCTTCGCTATTCTAGGAACACTGTCCAAAGAGTGTGCCAAGTTCCAGCCTAACTAGGGCAAGCGCAAGTACTGGAGATACTTAATTCTGTGGGTGGGGCATGAAAGGGTGAGGTTCTAGGTGGCAAAGTCAGTGGGTCCCTGGTGGACCTCTAGATGAGCTGGCCTGGATATTAACGGCCCAGCCTGAAGCTAATGGTACATGGAGCAGGATGAGTGAAACTGACTTAGTATTAAGAGTAATAATAAGGTAGCATTTACTGAGCCCTTTCTACAGGCAGGCACTTGCTAAGAGCTTTCTGTACATTTTCACATGCAGTGCTTCTAACAATCTATGAAATGGGTTTAGCCATTTCCCCATCTTAGTGCTTAGGAATCCCTGGACTTAACTCAGGTTAAGTGACTTTCCTGCATTCGGAGCTGGAATTCACACCCTGGTTTTGGCTGAAAAGGCTTCATTTTTTTTCTCCCTCGTGTTGTTCCTCCACTCAGAAATGCACAGATACTGATGTACAAGGTGCTGAACTTGAAATACAAACCCACTACCTACCTGCCTGTCATTTTCTCCTTCGCAGAACTTACCACAATCTGACATACCATCTATTTTTACCTCTGTGCCTATTTGAGAGCACAGATCTTGTACTCGCTCACTGCTGTGACCCCAGCACCTCGAACCTGGCAGATGATGTGTACCCAAGTATTAATTGTGGAATGAACTTTGAGATATTCAGATTCTATGGGAACCATGTCCCACACACTATTCCAAATCAGGTTAACATATGTTAGTGATTTCTTTCTCTTTTTTCAGTGTTAAGGATCAAACCAAGGGCCTCATGCATACCAGGCAAGCTCTCTACCACTGAGCCACAGACCCAGCCTGTATGATAGTAGTTTCTAATAATGATGTTTCATTTAAATGAAATTTTTATTAAAATTTTGTAACAACTACATAAAGAAAGCTCAAATTTACCTAGCAAACATGAGGTCTTGCGTTCAAACACCAGTACCACCAAAAAGAAAACTCCAATTTAAGACATTAAGGTTTCACCAAAAGGAAATGATAAATGTCTGAGGTGACAAATCTGTGTAAACTGATTTAAATATAATGTATACATGTATTGAACATTACATGGTACCCATTAATATGTACAACATTTTATATTTTTGTGTACTGGTTAAAAGTTCAAAAATAAGATATACTAAAACATAATATCGGGCTGGTGGAGTGGCTCAAGTGGTAGAGCGCCTGCCTCGAAAGAGTGAGGCCCTGAGTTCAAATCCCACTTCTGCAAAACAAACAGACAAACAAAAAAACCAAAACTTAATATCAAAATGGAATCAGGGTTATATTTCTATTTGCACACATAGTATTTGAAGCAGGGTTCAGTATATTCTATTCACATGCGTAACACTTTGAGAAAGGTTTATATATATGGTCCATGATGGGTCACAGCTACATTGAAGTTCTGTATCTGAAGGGTATCTCAGAGGCTCCTCTATAAGGTTACTTAGAAAGATTAAAGAAAACTACCCTAACCAATAAGAGTCAGTGTTCAATAAATCAAAATGATCCTAACAAAGGTATACTTGTTTTCAAGTCTTATATTTGGATTTGTTGACCCAGGAGATTAAGGCAAGCCAACCATCCCTATCATGTCTGTGAATACCAGTGCAAAATGAGTTAAAATAGAAGAAACAAATCCTATTTGGGGAACTCAGAGGTATCTACCATGTTTTCATGGTTCCAAATGAAAGGAACTGATTGCATCTTTTGAGTCTAGCACTCAGAGTCTGATCAGTTTCTCAGAGACGTTCAATGGATAAAGCCCTATCTAAGACAGCAAGCTTTAGGCACTGAAGATAATTTAGAAGTCTTGATTTTGGTTCCAACTGTCTTCCCAAAACAGATTGCAAAAATGGTCCTCAGAGTCAATGTTTATCCTGTGGAATTAGCATCTGTTAACTTCTCTACATAATTTTACAAGTACCTGCCTCATGTAACTGAAAAACAAGGAAGAAAATGCTCCTTCAGCTTTCCAATGTAGCTATCAAACTAATATGGAAAGCATATGTCTAATGGAATCATTTATTTAAATATATAGTATATGCCTTTGAAAGTAAGACTTACCATCTCTACATGTGTTTTGAAGATTATGTATTCGTGTCATATAAAACAAGTCTCACTTTTCATTTAAAATTGATTAAGCATGCTGGATCTTCATTCCTATTTCCTCTGTCAGAAATAGCCTGACCACAGAAAAGTTGGGGTGGCTATTCTGGGTCCCACAAAGCTTCCCCTAACAGAAGGCCAAGACCTGTAAATCAGGCTTCATCACTATAAGAAGAAAGAGGAAAAGGGATGAGGCCCTACCTTCCCCTTCCTGTAGGATTCAGTTATGAACTGCTAGCATCAGAGACGGGGAAAGCTGTGACTTGAAGAATTACATGATTTAATAGGGGCCTTTCCCAGCAGTCTAGAATATATCCCTTATTTAAGTTTCTTATTCACCTTTATAATTCTATTATTAGACTTACATGGTTACCCTAAATAAAGCTTCTACCACATTCAAAAGGGACTTTTCTCTCAGGTAGGTGATTTATCCTTTCTTCCAGTTTGAACAAGGTGTTTCCACCTGCAAAGGTGTTTTTCATAACTCTAGAAACCTGTGTTATAATAAATGTGACTTTACAATCATTCAAATAATAGCAGTACAGTTCTATATAGTTCAGTAGCAGTGTTAAGTAAAAGGCAAAGACATTTATACAATCTGGAGAGAAGTGAGCATATGTTTCAGTCTTTTCTTCGTAAGTAGTGACAGGAAAACCGTCAACTTAAATTTGGAACCTACTCAGTTTTCACCATGGAGAAAACAAAACAAAGCAAAACGATCTGTTTTTGAAAGTTCTCATTCACTGAGTCCTGAGCTTTCTTGAAATAACTTGCTAGTAATAATATTCATATTTTTGCTTAATTCATTGAAAAATAAATTTGCAGCCTTTAGAAAATACTTTCTACCTATTTCTTATTAAAAATCTGTCAGGGCTTCTGCACAACAAAAAAAATGGTCTCTAAATTGAAGAGACCACTCACAGAGTGGGGGAAAGTATTTGCCAGCTATACATCAGACAAAGGACTGATAACCAGAATATACAGGGAACTCAAAAAACTAAACGCTCCCAAAATCAATGAACCAATAAAGAAATGGGCAACTGAACTAAACAGAACTTTCTCAAAAGAAGAAATTCAAATGACCAAAAACACAAGAAAAATGCTCACCATCTCTAGCCATAAAGGAAATGCAAATCAAAACCACACTAAGATTCCATCTCACCCCTGTTAGAATAGCCATCATTAAAAACACCACTAACAACAGGTGTTGGCGAAGTTGTAGGGAGAACGGAACCCTTGTACACTGCTGGTGGGAATGCAAGCTAGTGTAACCACTCTGGAAAAAAATTTGGAGGCGTCTTAAAAATCTAAACACAGATATGCCATATGATCCAGCAATCCTACTCCTGGGAATATACCCAAAGGAATGCAACACAGGTTACTCCAGAGGCACCTGCACACCCATGTTTATTGTGGCATTATTCACAATAGCCAAGTTATGGAAACAGCCAAGATGCCCCTCTACTGATGAATGGATCAAGAAAATGTGGTATTTATACACAATGGAATTTTATGCAGCCATGAAAAAGAATGAAATGTTACCATTTGCAAGTAAATGGATGAAACTGAGAACATCATTCTGTGCAAGGTTAGCCAGGCTCAGAAGACCAAAAATTGTATGTTTTCCCTCATATGCAGTCTTTAGATTTAGGGCAAATACAGCAATGTAGTTGGACTTGGGTCACATGCTAAGGGGAGAGCACATACGGGAGATATGGTGATAGGTAGAAAACCCCAAAAAATGAAAGTATTTTATGTCCCCACTCCAGAGGAACTAATACAGAAACCTTAAAGTGACAAAGGTCAACACAAGAAGGGGATTGGGAACAAGTGAAAAGATCAGTTAGAGATGAATCAACTTGGGATGTAAAACATTTGTACATGGAAGCAATGCTAGGAATCTCTCTGTATAGCTATCCTTATCTCAACTAGCAAAAACGCTTTGTCTTTCTTATTATTGCTTATGTCTTCTCTTCAACAAAATTAGAGATAAGGGCAGAACAGTTTCTGCCTCGAAGCCAGGGAGAGTGGGGGGAGAGGGAGGGGGCGGAGGCAGGGGGGAAAATGGCCCAAATAATGTATGCACATGTGAATAAACAAATTAAAAAAAGCTGTCAGGAAAATACCATCATTTCAACCTTATACATGAGGAATGGGCTCAGCAGCTTAAATTCATTTGTCTACATTAGTAGCAGAATCAGGATTAAAATCCAGGTCTTTTTTCTTTGCTTGCAGTGCTGCGGATGGAACCCAAGGCCTTGAACTTGCTAGGCAAGTGCTCTACCACTGAGATTACACTCAAATCTTCTAACTACTGATTCTTTCTTTTCTTATCAGTGTTTCACAAACTAGACTCATTTGTTACAACCCTCTTAGTAGAGTTGAGAGTGCTTTCTCCAGCGAATACCTTAAAATAACACTTTGCACTCAAAATGGCCACTGGGAACATGTCATTTCTGGTAGCACAGAAAGCAAAGTGAGTTCAGTGCATGACAAAGGGCCACTCCTCCTGTATTATCACTTCTTATTTTTCTTCAAATCAAATATGTTCACTGAAGTACATCTATTGGAAAAGAAAGCTCTATATGACTCCCAGTAAGGAGAGTAAATTAGCATTTTCCCTAATAAAATAAAAAATTTTAAATGCTAATTTGGGGACCATGGCTTGGGACACAGTGCACTTTTCCCATGCTTCCTCAAACCACTAAGGTCAAATCTCAGTGGGTTTCCATATGTAAACTTTAAAACCTGAAAGAAATGCACAACTTGGCAAATCGAGAAAACTTTTTGGTATCTAGCATAGGGAGAAAGTATGAGGTCAAAAAAGGAAATTCATTAGTACACATTCAGTTGAAGTCTGCCGGTTGGTGTAATGATAGGAAAGATAGATCCTAACTGAGAGTCCCCAACAATATCACTACTTTGATCTTCTGATTGTGTGGCAGGCAGTTCCCCTACAGGAAGACTAACCTTTCATGATCTTGACCATGTATGTATAAGTATAAAACCATGCTTCCAACCTCCAAATAAATATGTAAATATGTACAAGTATGCATATAGTCAACCATCCAGTTACTGATGCATTCAAAAGCACACAACTAGTATATTCATTTATGCTATCATTAGAAATGTAACCATATAATTTCATTTAAAATATAAAAATAATCACATATTTCTCTGTAAATGATGCAAAATCAGCCTGGGTTTTTTTTTCTGCATAGGTATTATGCCAAAGGTCATTAGTTTACCAGTAAATCTTTTACTTTAGAAACTAGTTCTCCTTAAGAATTTGAAGAATGTCTCTTCTGCATGTCTAAAGGGAACACTGGCTTCATAGACTCCTTTCTTTATCACACTGGAGAGCAGAAAGCAGGCAGAAAGCTTAGTGGTGGGGCACAGTGCCAGTTCTAAAACATCTTTACATC